TGGGTGGGTGTGTGTGTGCCTTTTATTCGTTTGTGGGTGTGGTAGGGGGTCGGGGGGGTGTCTGTGATTAAAGGGGTCTCAAAGGCTAATTGTACCTGTTCGTATACAAAGGTTCGCAAGCACAACGCGAGATAGCACAGCGTCTATGAAATTCTTGTAGCAAAGCTATTTCGATTGTCGGATAATCTATAGCTTGAACAGTGGTACAGGATATGCGAGCAGTATCTAAAAAGTTGTATAGCCCAAACGAGATATCCCAAACTGTGTGGAATTTTGAAGATATACCAGGAGGAGGATGTGTTTGAAGTGACCTACCACTTGGCTGCGGCTGAGAAGTCCAGGCAAGAGGGTTTGTCTCTGGTGTTGTCGCCCATTGTAGCCTGCTTGTATAGTGCATATAGTCTTAATTGGTCCTTTGTGCAAACTCCTTTTAGTGACGAGGCGCATTTCGCAGCCATATCAAATCTCACACCGGTTTCAATACCACCATCATCCCGTTTGTCACCAGATTGTTGCCGTGGAAATGTGTCATCCTTCCTCGTGCCCCGTTTAAGGGTATTACTATATGCATATCGGGGGCCAAGATACCCTAGTCTGTTAAGAAGCCACCACATCGAGGTGCTTTTGCAAATGTACAAATATAAAACACACGTCAAACGGTCAAAGTAAGTGTATGTTTTAGATACATATATAGTCAAATACCATAGCCTTCTAAATTATACACAAATACGCATATATATATATATATAAATTTATATGGTTTGGCGACAAGGATTTCGATTTTTTTTAGATACGGCCATAGCGGCAAAGCCTTCTCTGTATTTTAGAAGGCTCTATGATACCGAATTGATATGGCGGTATAAAATACTCCGTATGTAGTCTCAGGCCTACAGCCATACGGGATGATACGGCCTACGCCCTACGGTTACCCGGGGTCCGGGACTTTGGAGTTGGGAGTCTGCACTCTGCCAATCAGACTGCCAGTCTGTGTCAAATATTTT